GCAAACAAGGACACGGCTTGTGTGGACATGTGCCATTCGTGGAGGTCATCGGAGTCAGAGGGTGCGGAGGGCTAGGGCTCTGAGCGTGGCTGCATCGCATACGGCTTGCAGGTGTGACACTGTGCAATGGATCGGGTCAGGAACTGTCACTTGTTTACCAGTAGCAAGGCAACGACGCACCATTCCTTCTTATGACACAGTTACTAATCAATCCCGTCAATATGGATATGGAAGAGGTGCTAGCAGGGAAGGACACGCACACGATCACCCTTGACGAACCTCTCCAAGCAGATCACGCACTCCACCTGCTGGTCGGCCAATGCCAGCGTCGAAGGTCGATGCGAAGTCAACAGGGCATCCGGTCCTTGTTCAAGGTTGGGCGTCGGGCGGGCCCTTGACGTTACTAACGTCTAAAGAAACGAGCAGGGGCATGCGAAGACAGGGTCAGCCTCAAAAACAATCGGTGGGACGTCGTCTTGTTTCTTCCGTCCTTGGGGCAAAAAGACGTTAAGGATGAGAGCGGGATCACGTACCCCAGCAGCGGGCCACCGAGCTTGCCACCGATTGAGGCAGGCCGTGCTGGGAAGGTGACAGAAGGTGTTCGGTCAACGAGACACTGCTACCTGAGACCCAAGTCCGACCTCAGAGCTGGCAGCTGTCATCCTTGCGCTTCGAGGAGGAGGAAGAGCCTGGTGAACGTATGGAGCCAGTAGACGGGTGTGTAGCAGTGGGAGCGACAGAAGATGAGGTGGTGAAGGCAAGAATGCGCTGATCATGGAGCGAGCGCGTGTTTAGCGCGGCAAACGCGTCCAACATGTAAGCGCCCATACGCTTCATAAGCTCTTCACCTTCACGCTATAAAGAGTGTCCGCGTAAAAAAACGTCAAGTCCATCCTTCCTTCGCCACGCTACCATCTCCCCTCTGTCACTAAGGTCAATGTCTCAAGAACTAGTCGACTAGACAAGGTGAGTTGTTTCCTGACCTTCAATGTAGAGTTTGTGCTTGCCGCCCAGCCCAATAGGCCGCTGTGCGGCAGTGAGGCTCTGCACGTATGAATTACGGGTGCATATATGCACCCCTTCACTCACCTTTTGCATGTGCAGTCTTGTCTGCGACATTGCCTATCTGCTTACTGTGCGGTTGAAGCGTTTGCTAATGCCTCGGCAGCGCAAACATGCTTCCGACGGTTACGACACGACCAACCCATATATCGACGACTCGGAGCTCGTGCAAGACGAGCGAACATTCTTCACCCAGACGAAACAGAAGGGCTTCTATGTGTCAAGTGGACAGGAAGCTTTGCCGAACAAGTACGTTTCCCTTCATCCTATCCTATCCTATCCTCCACGACAATCTCATCGCCTCCATGCAAGGCCTGTATGCGCCACATGGTGCGCATATACACGTGCTCAGGGGGTGTTCCACCAGGCATCGTGCGAGAACATAGTACTAAAGCCCAGTCGCCTGAACTTTGTACATCGTGCGATGCTTTTTTTTGCATTGGTTCGGGTGCTCTGGCCTGTCCTCGCCCGCGTACACGCCTCATCATTCTTAATCCTCCATCTCCATCATCTGGTGAGACTTCTCATCATTACCATTGCGCATATACGCTTGCTCGACGAACCCTGCCGCGAAGAGGCCGAAACTCCGCTGGGTGCGACACTGAAGACGCCTTTTGTCGCGCTCCCCGTCCAACCTCAGCTGGGTCACAAGGAGCGGATATCGGCAAGCATGGTCGATCGAGTGCAAGGTAGTACTCTATTTCAAGGCATGCAATATTCCTCTTCACGCAAGCGCACGGGTGTCGGACGGACTGGCGTCGTCCTGCCTGGCCCTTGCTTCTCATTGCTTACATAGGTCCCTGTGCCTCAACTCCCAAACACCGCTGCTACATCGGTCCTCTCAGCCCATAAGTACCCTAATAGAAGCCTCCATCGTGCCCGCAAAATCACCATTATATACCGCGTAGAAGCTCTAGTTCCTGAGCCACCGGTCCGATAGGATCCTATCATGGGAAGACGTGGGGTAATGTCTGCTGCGAACGTAAGTACTCATCTGTGTCTACTCTACGACCATCATCCTCCCCGAACGACCACCTCCCTTCCGTCAATTCTCTCCACATACTTACCATGACACCCGTAATCCATGTGAGCCGTTCACCTCGCGTTGTCTCAAGCAAGCAGTCGGTGAGTGTCTCGTTCACAGCATCTTCCGCTGAAATTCCCGATAGCGTCCCGCAAACGTCGCAGCTCCTTCGGGCGACAACCGGATGCAAGGACCGGAGGACCTGTCGGTGCCAGTGGCCGTTGACCGTGCAATGCGTGTAGCGGGAGGTCTACGGGGCGAGCAAGACGGAGTCTGCGGGCATTGTTAGCTGCTGGATGCTGTTCGTGTTCTGTCGCACCTTGCAAGCTGGTTGAA